AGAAGAGGAGTTGGGGGCGGGGAGGGGGCCGGGGTCTGGCGCCCAGGCCGGGGGTACCTGCAGCTGTGGGCCGGGCCTGCCGGCAGGGGCCTGGCGGGGCTGCCCGCCTCCCGCACTCACCGATCGGTCGGGGAGTGTTGTCATTCCGTGGGCCGGCGGCGATTCGCATGTTGGGTCCACTTGGAGCGGAGCTCAGGGACCTCCCTCTGTCATCCATGTGGGCGCTGTGGTGCCAATCTCGGGCAGAGGTGGTCCACTGGACCGACTTCTGGGTGGTTTTCATGTAAATGGAGTCTTTCCTTACCGTCCCACAGGAGGGGTTTAAAGTCAGCTACACAATGACTGAGCGTCTGTCTCTGTGTTACTCTCCATCTCTACTCCTATCTGGCCTGTAGTAACTGACTTATACGAGGGATGGAGTAAAGGGTAAATTGCTTCAGAAATGGAAGACCTGATTAAGCGTGAAGGAAAACAGCTCAGAAGATCATTCTTGGCAAGAGATGTTAGCTTTCTGGAGGTCGTCTTGAATCCACTGGATTCTGTGATTAAAACTGTAACCAGTTGGCAGGTCAGATTCCCAGAAGTGATAGTAATTCCAGCATTACTTAAGTAGCCTGTGGATTACACACTGTTGTCCTCCTCCTTGGTGTTAATTTCGTATTCTCCTTTGCTGGTTGTTCTAGTCGTCCTGATTTAAATGGTTGAATGTGTTCCAGAGGAGTTATAAGACCTCATCTGATTCAGCTGCATGGCTTTAAAACTCGATATCAACAGAAGACTGATCACTTCACAAATATAATATAGATGTCTCCCTGATTTTCAGATTTGTATATCCATCAGATTTCTGGAAATTGACACTCTGATGACTAGCAACATCTCAAGTCAATGTGGCCAAACCATCCTCTTTCCCCCCTTTGTCCTAAAAGTAAATTAGAAGCTCCATCACTAGAGAAGCTTAAACTCACAGTCATGGAGTCATTCTTGACTATTTTTAGGAATGGAGTGGGTATGGTTTGTGACTCTTTAGACAGGGTTTGTTTCTGTATCCCAGACTTGCTTGGACCTCATGATCCTCTTCTTTTGCCTCTCAAGTGCTGGGATTACAGGCATGCACCAACATGCTAGAGTAGGCTTTTGTTTTATTTTTGACACAAGGCCCTAGGGATGTGCTACCATGCCCAGCTTAGACTTCTTTTTCTCTCACACCTCAAATCCCTCTCCTCCGCTTTTTTTCCTGCCCGTTCTAGCTTGAATTCTGGTCCTGGGTGCTGTCCCTGAGCTTTTGCTCAAGGCTAGCCCTCTTCCTCTTGAGCGACAGCATCACTTCGGCTTTTTGAGTAGTTTATTAGAGAGTAGAGTCTTACAGACTTTCCTATCCAGCTGGCTTCCAACTGGGATCCTCAGATTTCAGCCTCCTGAGTAGCTAGGATTACAGGTGTCAGCCTCCTGCAGGCAGCTACACCTCACAATCTTATCAGAATATCCTGTTGCTATCAACTCTACCTTAAATGTAGCCAGAATGCAAATCCTTCTCACTCTCCATTGCAAGCCATTTTCATTTTATCTGAATATCTTTCAGTCTGCTCTGGACAGTTAGAGTGATTTTTTTTAAAAAAAGCATAAATTATGTCCTGTGAGTTTGCCTAGATTTCTATAATGTCTTTTCAACTCACCCAGTTGAGAGCACATTGAAATCCACTGAAAAGATCACCTGTTCTAAGCCCCTAACTGGATCCCTCTTCAGATTTTTGACATACTCATTTGCCTCTCATATTCTTCAGGTCTCTGTCCGGATGCTATCTTGTTGGCAGAAGCCTTCTCTGATAATCCTACATAAAATAGTACCCTTTCTTCACTCCATCTTCTTCACCTTTAATTTTTCTTGTACATGCCTTTTCTTTTTGGCCAGTTTGAACTCAGGCTCTAGGCCTTGACCTGGAGCCTCTTTGTGCTCAAGACTAACACTCTACCACTTGAGATATAACACCACTCTCATTGGAGATGAGTCTCATGGACTTTCCTGCCCAGGCTGGCTTTGAACCATGATCCTCAGATCTCAGCCTCCTGAGTAGCTAGGATTATATGTGTGAGCCACAGGTACCTGGCCATGCCTTGATTTTTTTTTTTTGCCAGTCATGGGGCCTGAACTCTGGGCTTGGGTGCTGTTCTTCAGCTCAAGGCTAGCACTCTACCACTTGGGCCACAGTGCCACATCTGGCTTTTTCTGCTTATGTTGCTGAGGAATCGAACCCAGGGCCTCATGCATGCAAGGCAAGCACTCTCCCCCTGAGCCACCTTCCTAGCCCCTGGTTTTTGTTAGTCTGCTTCTCTTCAGCATGAGGTTCCATGACAACCAGATCTTTCTATCTTGTCTACCACTGTCTTTATTAAATTAAAGTAGTGCTTGGTGCATAGCAGGTATTTATATATGGGAAATAGTTGGGCACTTTTCTTTTTGCAAGTAGAGCTATAATAATGATTGAGCTGTATTAGTGAATAAGACAGAAAACATTCTTGCTTCGATGGAAAAACAAATAGCAGAAAGGCATGTGTTGGAGAGTGATTGAAGGATGTAATATTTGAGAGTGTTCCAAAGAATGTCTTTTGTTAGAGGGGGTTTTGGACACAGTCTTCCAGATAGAAGGAATAGTAAGTGAAAGGCTTAGAGGCAGGACCTCAGACTAGACAGAACACTATGTGGCTGGTCCGGGGTAAGGATTGCTAGAGGAGGATAGGGAGTTAGCCAGGGTAAAGTGAAGGTGACAGAGTCTGTTAGGAGTAAATCATAGAGGCCTTTGTGGGACATGTTAAAGGCTTGAACTTTACTTTTTTTTTTGTTTGGTAGTGAAGTAGAGATAAGTCTCATGGACTTTCCTGCTCAGGCTGGCTTCAAACCACTGTCCTCAGATCTCAGCCTCCTGAGATACTGGGATTATAGGTATGAGCCACTTGTGCCCGGCAACTTTACTCATTTTTTTTTTGGGGGGGGGAGTCTGGTTGTGGGGCCTGAACTCTGGGCCTGGGCGCTGTCCCTCAGCTCTTCAGCTCAAGGCTAGCGCTCTACCACTTGAGCCACAGCGCCACTTCTGGCTTTTTCTGCTTATGTGGTGCTGAGGAATTGAACCCAGGGCCTCATGCAATGCAAGACAAGCACTCTACCACTGAGCCAACTTCCCAGCCCCAACTTTACTCATTTTTAAATTTACTTTTATTTTTACTTTTGCAGTGCTAAGGATCAAGCCTAGGGCTTTGTATGTGCTAGGCAGGCAAGCACTCTCCTGTATTTTGAGGGTAATGAACAGCCTTTTGAACAGAAGACTGACTTATTTGCCTTGACTATGGAATGGGATGGATTTGGTGTGTGGGGAAAGGCTACTGAGAGTACTCAGTGAGACTAGATGCAGGTAGGATGACAGAAGATAGAGGAATGTAATAGACTTGGTGGGTGGAGTGAAAAGGTTGCCCCTGAATGTGTAAGAAGGTGAAGGAAAGAAGGCCCAAAGATAGCAGGAGTAGCTGAGTAGATGGCACAGCCCTTTACTGAGACTGGGAATGTAGGGAGGCTCAGGTTCGGTGAGGAGTATGGATGAATGGTTATGCTTTGGTCATTGTTCAGCCTTTTTATTTTTAATTTTTATCTTTTTACTTTTTTGTCAGTCGTGGGGTCTGAACTCTGGGCCTGGGCACTGTCCCTCAGCTCTTCAGTTCAAGGCAAGTACTCTACTACTTGAGCCACAGCACCACTTCTGCTTTTTTTTTCTTATGTGGTGCTGAGGAATTGAACCCAGAGCCTCATGCATGCAAGGCAAGCACTCTACCACTGAGCCGCATTCCCAGCCCTGTTGAGCATTTTTTTTTGTGCTGGTCCTGGGGCTTGAACTCTGAGCATGAGCACTAACCCTTAGCTTTTACACTCAAGGCTGGCATTCTGCCATCAAGCCACAACTCCACTTCCAGCTTTTTGGTGATTAATTGGAGATAAAAGCGTCATGATGGGTTTTGGGTGGCTCTGGTTGGCTTTGAACTATGATCTCCAGATCTCAGCCCCCTGAGTAGCTAGGATTACACTGTTGCCTGGCTCATTGTTAAGTCTAAGGTGCTTTTTAGGTATTCGGTGGAGATGTCAAACAGGCAGTTTATGTCAGAATAAGACTGTAGAGCACAGCAAAAATGGCTTACTGTTCTGTTTTTTTTTTTTTGTCAGTCATGGGGCTTGAACTCTGGGCCTGGGTGCTGTCCCTCAGCTCTTCAGCTTAAGGCGAGTGCTCTACCACTTGAGCCACAGTGCCACTTCCGGTTTTCTAGTGGTTTATTGGAGATAAGAGTCTCACGGACTTTCCTTGCCCAGGCTGACTTTGAACTGTGATTCTCAGATCTCAGCCTCCTGAGAAGCTGGGATTACAGGTGTGAGCCACTGGTGCTTGGCTGTTTCCTGTTATTTATCTTAGTAAATATGTGCTGGCACAGTGTATGTTGTGCCCTTGGTGTCGGGTAATGGTGTGAATAGGGAGCAGTGGTTATATTGTTTTGTGAGAAAGACTTGAGCAAAATTTGCTCTTCAACTCTTGCAAAATCTTGCTGTGTTGTCAGATTAGTAGAATAGTTGACCAAAAAGGACAGGGGAGGGGAAGCCCTCCTCCCCTCCCCTCCCCTCCCCTCTTTCCTTTTCTCTCTCTCATTTTGTCAGTTGTGGGGTTTGAACTCAGGGCCTGGATGCTGTCTCTGAGCTCTTTTGCTCAAGGCTAGTGTGCTCTACCACTTTGAGCCACAGCTCCATTTCCAGTTTTTGATTGGTTAATTGGTGATAAGAGTCTCATAGGGACTTTCCAGCCTGGGCTGGCTTCAAACTGTGATCCTCAAATCTCTGCCTTCTGAGTAGCTAGGATTATAGATGTGAGCCATTGGTGCCTGGCACGGAAAAACTTTATAGTAGCCTGCAGGTATGTAGTGTTAACAGTGGGGAACCTGCTGGGTACCAGTAGCTCACATCTATAATCCTAGCTATTCAGGAGGCTGATATCTGAAGATAGAGGTTTGTAGCTATCCCAAGCTGATACATCCTTAAGATTGTTATCTTCAGTTAACTAGCAAAATGCTGGAAGAAGTGATGTAGCTCTAGTGGTACAGTGCCAGTCATGAGGGGAGGAGGGGGAAAGCTGAGCAAAAGAGCATGAGGCCCTGAGTTCAAGCCCTGCCACTGGCACATATGAAAAAAGGGGAACTGATTAGAAAGAATCATCATTCATGTTCCACCTCCCATAGTTTTCCATCTTCCTCACATTGGTTCTACCAGGCTTGTTACCTGGAGAAGCAGCTGGCAGGAGGCAGGCCAGTGCACTGGACTGCTCATATGTGGAAAAACTCCTAACTGTACCTTGCCTCTGTTTCCTGTGACTCCAATTCTGGTCCACTCTGGGCAAGTTGAGCTCTCATCCCACCTGGAGGAATTCATTTACAAATTACGTTGTGGAGGAAAATCTGCATCATGTAGGGACTATGTGGTATGCTTTCTCAATTTCTGCAAGGAAAGTAACTGCAAGGAACTTTCCTTGGAAGTTTGATCTATAACAGCTTAAAAAAATGAGGAAGTAAGTTATTTTTTTCCTTATCAAAACTTGTTACATGCCTGCCCACTGTTCCCTCTCTATTCTCAGATCCTCACTCTCCTAGTTCTTACACCCAAAAAGTTTACAGTGATGCAACATCTTCATATTGGTCCCTGGTTACAAGAGAGGTGGCAGTTTCCTGCTCTCCTAGTGTTTTCTGAGATTGTGTTTCCTGTACTTGCCTGCACTGGGGTACTCATCTCTCTGAACAAGATAACATAGCATCTTAATATCTGTGCTGTGCTTCTCCATATATACTGTCTCATTCAATTCCCCAAATCCTAAGATCAGTGCTAGTCCATTTTATAGACAATTGCAGTTTTTCTATTTCAGTGAGTCAAAGACAGATCTTAAGTTGTGTGGTTTAAGTCTTCTGCTAAATATCTACCCCCCCAAAAAAAAAAAAGTAGCCAACATTTTGGAAGATGATCTCTTTTAATCAGGGATAGCAAATTATTTTTTCTTTCCTGCTAGAGTAGTAAGATCATAGAATTTCAATAATGTTTTCACTAGTTCTGTGCCCCTTAAGGCAAGTTATTTATCTGTTCTGAGCCTCAATATATTTCCCTAAAAATGAGGATAATATAAAACCATATTAACTCTATCAATTTAATGCAGGTTTTTTTTGTGGGGGTGGGGAGGGAGAAGTAGAAATTGCATTAAATGAGTAAGCTAATTGTGAGACAACATTCTCATTTCAAAAACCACAAAAACAAGTACCTTCAAATATGTTATCTTCTTCATACCTCTATGAGCTAGAACACAAAGAATAGAATGCACATTAAATAGTTTTGATAGGCAAGGCATAAAAAAATAGTTTCCTGCCAGGCACTGGTGTCTCACACCTATAATCCTAACTACTCAGGAGGCTGAGTTCTTAGGATATGGTTCAAAGCCGTCTGGGGCAGGAAAGTCTAAGAGACTCCTATGTTCAGTTAACTACCAGAAAACCAAGAATGGAGCTGTGGCTCAAAGTGGTAGTGTTAGCCTTGAGCAAAGAGCTCCCAGGCCCCCAGTTCAAGCCCCATGACCAACCCCACCCCCCAAAAAGTTTCCTGTTTTTATTTACCAGTCAGTAGTAATTTAAGCCTTACTATCTTCTTTTCATGGTTAGTAAGGTTCCTTTTTATGAGAAAGGCTTTTGCTGTATAGCCCGGTGGCCTAAACCCACAACCCTTTGCTTCAGCTTGCTGAGTGCTGGATTATTAAAGCATGAATATGCTTTTCCTTGGATGATCACATTTAACCTAATGACTGCAACCCTAGCAGGCTGATTTATGAGTATTTGAGGACAAAGAGACTTTCACATGTAACTGGAGAAAGAATGAACTTGAGCTGTGAGCTGAGCAATGTAGTAACAGGAGGGTTTGGACTTAAAGTCCTAGTGGCTACCATTTTAGCATGGACAGTTTAAAGTCCTTCCTCACCAGTCCTGTCCATATGAGACATTGCTGACCTCTTTTGTAGTAAGACTACCTGATAGATCCTTAACTTTTTGTTGTATCATGTATTTCCTGTATATATTGTATTGTACTACAATGTAGTATTGTACTATATTATAGGTAATGGAACAAAATATGTATATATTTCTTTATATATTTTGTTGCACTACAATGCAATAAATATATACAATGCAATGAAACATATACAGGAAAGTATATAGCTATAGCTAGTATATATAGTATATATTTATATTTTCAAAAATGTAATACCAAGCATTTAGCTCAAGCAACAGGACTTTACCAGCTCTGTTAAAACTCCCTTTTGCTCCCTCTAGTCACTACTTTCTTTCTTTGAGACAGGGACTCATAATTCAAACTGTCCTGCAATTCCTGTTCCTCCTGCCTTTATTTCCTAAGTGCTAGGATTACAGGCATGTGTTAGCAAGTCCAGCAAGTGTTATACTTTCTATAAATGGAATTGCACAGTGTGTGGACTTAGGTCTAGTTTCTTTCTTTTTTTTTTTTGGGTCCGGTCATGGGGCCTAAACTCTGGGCCTGGCCACTGTCCCTCAGCTCTTCAGCTCAAGGCTAGCGCGCTACCACTTGAGTCACAGTGCCACTTCCAGCTTTTTTCTTTTTGCTTATGTGGTGCTGAGGAATCGAACCCAGGGCCTCAGGCATGCAAGGCAAGCGCTCTACCACTGAGCCAACTTCCAGCCCCAGGTCTAATTTCTTTTATCAGCTGTGTAGGCGAATCACAGTCACCTGTGGAGTACTGATCTTCATTATTCCTCTGTGTGGATATATCATGATTTATATACACTCTATAATGGATCTTCTGTATATATGCAGTGGGCTGTTTTAAATAGTGCTACCATGAGCGTTCTCGCGTCTTAATTAACATAGGTACTTTTTGGTACACACAGGTTTGCTTTTTTGTGCAGTTGATAATGAATGCTTCCTCCCTTTTTCTTTCTCTCTCTGTTTGTTCTGGTCCTGGGACTCAGGGCCTGGGTGCTGTCTCTGATCTTTTTTGCTCCTGGCTAGCGCTCTGCTACTTGAGCCACAGTTCCACTTCGAGCATTTGTTACTTGGAAATAAGAGTCTCAGGGAATTTCCTGCCTGGCTGGCTTTGAACTATGAGCTTCAGATCTTACCCTCCTGAGTAGGATTATAGGTATGAGCCACCAGCACCTTGCCTCTCTGTGTGTGTGTGTGCGTGCGTGTGCGTGCGTGCGCGCGCGCGCGCGTGTGCGCGCCCGCCCATCTGGGGCTTGAACGCAGAGACTTAGCTTTTTTGTTGGTTGTGGGGTTTGAACTCTGGGCTTGGGCACTATCCCCCAGCTCTTCAGCTCAAGGCTAGTACTCTACCACTTGAGCCATAGTGCCACTTCCGGTTTTCTGAGTGGTTTACTGGAGATGAAAAATCTCACAGCCTTTCCTGCGTGGGCTGGCTTTGAACCATAATCCTCAGATCTCAATCTCCTGAGTAGCTAGGACTACAGGTGTGAACCACTCGCGCCCACCTGCTTTTCATTCTTAAAAGTGAATTTAAAGGACCTTTTCTTGGGCGTGGTCTTTAAGAAAAACATTAGTAAATTAGTGTGTTACTGTTACTCAGACTTATTTACAGGTCCTGATTCAAGAGAGGGATTTAATAGATGATGGTGTTAAATGAAGGGGTAGGACACAGTTTACTAACAGTGTTTGGTGTACAGGAACTCATCATTTTCTTTTTCTTTTTTTTTTGTTGGTCGTGGGGCTTGAACTCTGGGCCTGGGCGCTGTCCCTCAGCTCTTCAGCTCAAGGCGAGCGTTCTACCACTTGAGCTACAGCGCCACTTCCGGTTTTCTGGTGGTTTATTGGAGATAGGAGTCTCACAGTCTCTCCTGCCCGGGCTGGCTTTGAACCACGATCCTCAGATCTCAGCCTCCTGAGTAGCTAAGATTACAGGCGTGAGCCACCAGCGCCCGGCTAATCATCATTTTCTTGCTTGGTAACCCATGGGGACTTCCCCTTCCTCCTCTCCCCTCCTCCCCCTTCTCATCATCATCACTCCCCCCCCTACACACACACTTAAACTCATATCTGATGATCTGATCATTTTGTTCATTGGCTAGCACTTTGCCACCTGAGCCATGCCTCTGACCCTAGATTCTTAATTTTAAGCTAACTGATCCTTTTGACTCAGACAAGTCTTTGCTTTTCATGCTTTAAAAAAAAACAACAAACCAACAACCCACTTTAGACTCTGGATAGCATTATCTCAGTGTAGATGAGTTTGTGGGAGATTTTTAAATGGCCATAGGCCACGCTAACAAGTTGTTAGGCTAGTAACTAAAGAATAATACATCTTTTTGAAGGAGTTATGTGCAAAGAACATGTGGGCCACTGTGCTCATTAAGTAGGGCAGTCTGGGTGGATCATCTAAAACTCTAGGGCCTAGTTTTTCTCAGTAAACACTGCATTTATTAAGTGTCTGGCTTGGGGTTGCTGTGAAATCAAAGGAAGTGCTCCGTGAAAGTCCTGGGCAAGAGTGTGATATGTGATCCCTGCCTGTGAGTGCCGGGTTCTTGTGTTGCCCCAGCTGCCCATTTGACTTTCCAGAGTTGAAAATGTGCCCTGTGAATAAAGCCAATTCCTTATTCCTTATTCTAACTATTTACATGTCAGAGGAAAGAAGGGAATTTATGAAGATTACAAAATTACGCCATATCCTTCTAAAAAGATGAACTTTGTCCTAATGTTTTCAAATTATAATTTTAAAGCAATACAAAAATAATGTCTCCTAGATCAGTGAACACAAGTATAACTCAAGGGTAAGCTTAATGAGCAGGGAGAGAAGTGAGGTATTTTGACAGACACTGATTTCTAAAGAACAGGTGCACACAGTGGCTAAAAATAGTGTTATGTCATCAGTGGAAGGGAAAATGTAGTCAGAAAAAAACAGGTTTCTTTTCTAAAATTAGTCCTTGAGTAACTTACAGGAATGTGGAGGTAGTTTAAATGTGAATTTGTAAAAACCAGGTCAGCCAGAGTCTCTCAAAAGATGGTGGTAGTAATGCACTCGCACATAACCATTTATTTTTAACCGAGCACCTTTTTTAATCCACTTTAAGCATAGCCTTAAAGTACCATCCGATAAGGAATGCAGGAATCACAGGGCAAATGTTATAGGGTAGATGAAGAAAGTTAATTTAGGCCCAGGTTTGCAAGGCCCTGGGTATTTATTTATTTATTTAATGAGCCCAATTGGAACTTGCTCTAATAAGCACTGGCACATGCTTTTCGCAAGCAGGGAGAGTGAACTGACAACTTTCAGTTTATTTCAGCATTATACTAGTAATTGTTGTTATGCCTCATAATACTGGTGTCACTTGTGAAAGGTATTTTTAAAAATAGGGGTTTAATGCTGAGCACTGGTGGTTCACACTTGTAATCCTAGCTACTCAGGAGACTGAGACCTGAAATATTATGGTTCAAAGCCAACCCCACCAGAAAAGTCTGCAAGACTTCATTTCCAGAGTATCCAGCCAAAAGCTGAGCTAGGGTATAACTCAAGTGGTAGAGTGCCAGATATGGGCAAGCCAACTAAGAGTGCAAGGCCCTGAGTCCAAGCCCTCGTACTTGTCAAAGACAAACAAATAGTTTAAGTTCAAATCCCAGTATTGCCAGAGAGAGAGAGAGAGAGAGAGAGAGAGAGAGAGAGACAGAGACAGAGAGACAGAGAGACACGGAGAGAGAGAGACACGGAGAGAGAGGGAGAGGAAGAAAGACAGTGTGAGTGAGCGCACGCGCAGTTTAGGGTAGTTTAATCACAAATTGGAATCAACAGGCACTTAAATTCACATTTTCTCAAATAATTTGTAGTTTTTGTTGTTTCATTGTGTGTGTGTGTGTGTGTTTGTGTTTGTGTATAGGTGGTACTGGGGCTTGAATTCAGGGCCTAGTTGCTGTCCCTTACTCTTTTGTTCAAGGATAGTACTCTACTGCTTGAGCCTTGCTACATCTCCACTTCCAGCTTTTTGATGATTAATTGGAGAGAAAAGTCTCATCTACTTTACTGGACAGGCTTTGAATCATGATGCTCATATCGCAGCCTCTTGAGTAACTAAGATTTTAGGTGTGAGCCACCATACCCACTTGACTAAACCTCTACCAATTGAACCACACTTCCAGTTCTGAGGTTGGCTTTTTTTTTTTTTTTTTTTTGGTTTTTGTGTCAGTAATAGGGCCTGAACTCTGGGCCTAGGCACTGTCCCTCAACATTTCAGCTCAAGGCTAGCACTCCTCTGCCACTTGAGCCACAGCGCCACTTCCAGCTTTTTCTGCTTTTGTGGTGCTGAGGAATCGAACTTGGGGCCTCATGCATGCAAGGTAAGTGCTCTGCCAGTGAGCCACCTTCCCAGCCCTGTTTTTTTTTTTTTAAACATTTTTTTTCTCCAACTTAAAAAATAGTTATTATAAAGGTGATATATAGAGGGGCGACAGTTACATAAGTCAGGTAAAGAGTACATTTTTTTGGGGACAATGTCACCCCTTCTCTTGCTCTCTCCTAGTTTTTCCCTCCTACCCACAAGGTTCTATAGTTCATTCTAGTGAGTACCACTGCTGCATTTGTTCACCCTTAGTCCCTTCTTTTCTGTTGCCCCCCCCTTTACCCTCTCAAAGACAGATAAACAAGACAAAAAGAAAATAAAACAAAAACAACAACAAAGAAAAAACAGGTCCACGCAGCCACCACCGCTGCCACTGCCGCCTCCTCCTCCTCCTCCTCCTCCTGGTCCTCCTCCTGCTCCTCCTCCTGCTCCTCCTCCTGCTCCTCCTCCTGCTCCTCCTCCTGCTCCTTCTTCTCCTTCTCCTCCTCCTCCTGCTCCTCCTCTTCCTCTTCTTTCTCCTCCTCCTCCTCTTCCTCCTCCTCCTCCTCCTCTTCCTCCTCCTCCTCCTCCTCTTCCTCCTCGTCTCCTTCTCCTTCTTCTTCTCCTCCCCCCTCCCCTTTTGCCAGGAATTGAATTCAGGGCCTGGGCACTGTCCCTGAGCTTCAAGGCTAGCACTCTGCCACAGAAGCCACAGTGCCATTTCTGGCATTTTCTGTTTATGTGGTACTTAGGAATTGAACACACGGTTTCATGCATGCTAGGCAAGCACTCTACCACTAAGCCACTTTCCCAGCCCTGAGGTTTTCTTCTTAATCTAGACTTCTGATTATTTTTTTGGGGTGTGTGTGTGTATGTGTATGTTAATTTTAAGTCTTCTGCCTGTATTGGTTATTTAATAACACATTGGTTTGAAAAATTTGAATGCCTGATTTTAAAACTTTTACCTTTTAAATAAGACATTTTTTGGAGAGTTTATCATCCTACTTGATTCTTTCTTTGCAGTGCTGGGGATCAACATATTTTTTTCTTAATTAGAGGTGCTCTTAATTAAGTTTTTGTGCTTCATTTTTGACATAGGCTTAAGTTGTATGCCTGATCTCAGTAAATACTGACCGTATACTTACACTGTGTATTAGGGTTGGTTTTTTTTTATTTTTCCAACTTATTTGGAAATATTTATTGTTTTTTTTTTTTTGGTCGTGGAGTTTGAACTCTGGGCCTGGATACTGTTCTTCAGCTCAAGGCTAGCTCTCTACCATTTGAGCCACAGCGCCATTTCCAGCCTTTCTGCCTATGTGGTGCTGAGGAATCCAACCCAGGCCTCATGCATGTAAGGCAAGCACTCTACCACTGAGCCACCTTCATAGCCCCTATTGCTTATTTTATGGTGCCTTTTTATTCCTTTGGTTTACAAATAGGTGTTGTTGCAATTGCTTTGAAGTTTTCAACTATTTTCTTGAATTATGTTGATGGAATTTCTTTGGTAGCTCCCACTGAAAATGCTTTGCAAGGGTTAATTTTGTTTGCTTAAATAAGCAGGTATAGCGAAACTAACAGCTGCATTTATTTTGATCTGGACAGATTTGGAGACCGCTTACTGCCACCTTTTATTTCCCTGTGGGTCCAGGAACTGGATTTCTTTATTTGGTCAATTTATATTTCCTATATCAATATTCTACACGACTTGAATCAGGTATGTTATCATTATTTAAGTGTTTCTAATGTACTAATTCATATGTTTACTTACTTGGAGGAAATGGCTAAATGTCTGTACATGTGCACTGATATGCCAAGACTGTGCTTTGCGTTTATGTTATTTGCTTTTCAATAGGCTGCTCCCCTCCCCTGATCTACTCTTCCCTCTTTTCCTTTTCTTTTTTTTTTAAGAAGTTTTTTTTTTATCGTGAAAGTACTGTACAGAGAGGTTACAATCAAACGAGCAAGGTAGAGTACATTTCTTATCAAGCATTGTTGCCTCCTTTGTTTTTCCCCTACCATCCCTCCCCTCCCATATCCACAACTACATTCCATCCCTTTCTCCCTCCCCCCTCCCCTCCCCCTCCCCCCACCGCTTTTCCTTTTCTTTCCTTCCCTCCATCCTTCTTTCTCTTTCTGTTTTTTTTCCCCCTTATATGGCATTTTTTTTAGTATGGTATTTTATTTATGCTTTGTTTTCCCTAATGGGTGTACCATTTAAAAAAATTATTGTAAAGATGATGTACAGAGAGTTATAGTTACCTAAGGTATTGTTGCACATTGTTACCCTTCCCTTATTTCCTTCCACTTCCCCTCACCCCCAATTCCCTCCCCCTTTTGCTTTAAAAAAATTTCATTAACTTTTGTCTGTACTAAATTCTTCATCCCCCTTCCTCTATCTGCAATGCATGAACATATATGTATGTATATGTACATGCACGTACATGTACACGCATGCATTACATGTATGTAGATATATGTATATTACAATGAGATTATAGATACATGCCTCCACATTCAGCCTGGTTTTTAATCCTAACAACCCCATGAGATATAAAGTAGTAGTATTGCTGTTTTATAGGTAGAAACAAAAAGAGGTCAAAGTTAGCAGATCCTGCCCACTTCCTTAATGATTGTCACTTTGATAATTAGACTCATTTCTACCACAGAGCAGTCCTTGTCCTTTACTGTACAATTAGGCTTGTAAATGTGTATATCTCTTAGATTTCAACCTCTTGTAGAGGTTGAAAATGCTGCTTTATTCAATTAAAACCCTACAGTCTTTCTGTGTATTACAAACACTCAATTTTAGAAAACATACAGTAGACCCTTGGTGTCTACAGGTGTCTGGTTCTGCGGCGCTCACTGCTGATGAAGGACTGTGACTACTCAGAGGGCAGACTTCAGAGGGTTCTAGTTGATACATTTTCTTTGCTAAAGACATGCTGCCTTTCAGAAGATCTCAGACTGTTGCTTTATTGCCTCAATTAAGTACATTAACTTTTACCTTGCTTTTTAGACACCATTTATTTAAGGGCGGGGAAACACCCAGCAGACCATAGGACTATTGGAACAGATGTGATGCTGTGTGGGACTCCCAGAGCTCTGCATCAGCTGAGCTGTGCCCTGTGCGTGGGAATTGAGAACTTCCTGAAATTTCTTTTGACTTCTAAAAAAAATTTACTTTCTGACTCTGCTTGGTCAAAGCTGTGTATAGTCAATCTGTGAATAAGGTGGGCTTACTATAAAGATTTAGTATTGTAGTGGTTTGTTAGGTCTGACTACCTATGCCATGGTAGTCATAATCTTTAAAAATGTTTTCTTAACGGTGTCATACTGAATTGCTTTCTTCTTCTTTTTTTTTTTTTGTTGGACATGGGATTTGAACTGTGGGCCTGAGTGCTGTCCCTCAGCTCTTCAGCTCAATACTAGTGCTCTACCACTTGAGCTACAGTGCCACTTCTTTTTGCTTATTTTCTACAATATTTTACATGCTGTTTTGAGTAGCTTCCCAAGAAGCTACATTGGTACACTGTAAAAATAGGCAAAGTTCAGATGGTTTTTGTAAAGGTGGCTGGCTGACTTCAGGGCTTTAATAAAACGGTGGATTGTTAGTCTGTCATGTGTTTAGAAGTTGTGAATCAGTCTCATAACAGCAGGAACATAGTACAGTGGGCACTTCGTTTCAAATACAGTTTTTTCTTAAGTTGACATTGGAAATAAATCATTTGAATGTGGTGACTCAAGCCCATAGTCCCCACCATTTGGGAGGTTGAAGCAGATAGATTATGAATTTGAGTCCAGCCTTGAGTTATATAGGGGAACCCTGTTTTCCCTCCTTCAAAAGAGAAATAAAACAAACAGTATTACTTTGTATTGGGACCCTGTATAGTCATAGACTGTTATAATTGAGAGGAGTATAGCCATTCCTTGATTTTTACAGAGGAAGAGCAAGAGCAAGATTTAAGGAAGGGAAGTAGCTAGACTGAGAGCACACAGGCTCTGACCACCATGTCACTGGAGGCAGGGAGGGTGACTTATAAATCTACTAGAATATATATTTTCCTCTCCCTATTTCTGATTGTATGTGATGGTGGTGATGGCTTTCTTAGCATTCTCCCTTCTGCTGGTATAACCTGACTCCCGCTTTCCCTTACTGCCAGGAATTGAACCCAGGGTCTTGCTCATGCTAGTCAAGTATCTAAAACAGTGATATTTAGTTAAATAAACCTTTATTATAGGAAAATGCCAAACAGATACAAACTAGAGAAAAAGGTTAATGATCCTTTTTTAAAAGTTGAGCTTAAATTTCCATAACATAAAATTAATTTTGTATTTTGAAGTGTATACTTCAGTGGATTTTCATATATTCACAGTGTTAAAACAACTATCACCACAGTTTGATTCTAGAGTGTTTTCATTATTCTCCCAAAGATCCAGAGCAATTGGTTTTCATTGTCATCCCTCTAACCCTCTCACCTCTTCCCTTCTATGCTCTACCAACCATTAGTCTACTTGGTGTGGATTTGCCTATTTGAAACATTTTGTATGGCTTTTATGATTGGCTTCTTTCATTTAGCTTAAGAATTTATTTTTAAGTTTTTCTACATAGCATGTATTGGTGCTTAATTCTTTTTTATTGCCAGAAAGGTTGCATATATGACATGTATAATACCATGTTTGGATTATTCATTGGTTGATTATAACTTGACTTGGATCCCTTTGTGGGTTATTATAAATAATGCCCCTTTGAACTTTAGGGTAGAGAGGAATTTGAGGAATTTCTCTAATTAACCCTCTTATTCTGCAGACAAGAAAACAGTGGTCGAGTATTAGTCACATGTCGCACAGATCGGAAAGCTATTTGGGATTAGACATCTAAGATGGAAGCCAGGTTTATTTACCCTTTGATTTTTCTCATCTCTTTGGAGGTTCAAGTTAACATTTTGATACAATGTTTTCACCTGCATGTTTCCTTGGCTGGCTAAATTGTTAAATGTATAGCATTTAAGTGTCAGCTTATTTCATAGGTTTCTGATTTGAAATGGAAGACTATAATTTGATACTGGCTAATTATAGTTGCAAGCATGCCAAGTAGTTTGGTACTATAGTTTATGTGATGACAGTGTCTTAAGTACTCAATCTAAAGAATCCTTTGAAATCACAAAGCTAAGTAAGAGCCCATCAGAGAAACACAGCTATTATTAAAATTCTGTTTTGTTGGACTCTCAGCTCTCACTCATCTCAGTGATCCTCCAGCATTAGATCTTCTTTCCCTAGTTGAAGATGTTTTCGAGTAACGAGAGAAATAAAGATGAGTAGGAACACTTTTTCTTTTAGGCACATCTTTTTTTGCCTTTCTGACAGTTTTAGAATTTTAAAAATTGATTAGCCGTATTGTGTAATGGTGGGTGTTATGAAGGGATGAAAGACGAAGGAGAACTTTTGAGCTGGGGTGACCTCACAGACATCTCTGTGTCTTCTCTGCTCCCTCTTCTTTCCTTTCCTTCCTTCCTTCCTTCCTTCCTTCCTTCCTTCCTTCCTTCCTTCCTTCCTTCCTTCCTTCCTTCCTTCCTTCCTTTCTTTTTCCTTCCTTCCTTTCTTTCTTTCTTTCTTTCTTTCTTTCTTTCTTTCTTTCTTTCTTTCTTTCTTTCTTTCTTTCTTTCTTTCTTTCTTTCTTCCATGGTGTGTGTGTGTATATGTGTGTGTTTGTGTGCGCGTGTGCGCGTGTGCGTGCGTGTGCCAGTCCTGGGGTTTGAACTCAGGGCTTGGGCACTGTCCCTGAGCTTCTTCTTGCTCAAGACTAGCACTCTACCACTTGAACCACAGGGCCACTTCTGTTTTTTTTCTGTTTCAGTGTTTTTTTGTTTTTGTTTTTCCCTCTGTACTGAGGAATTGAACCCCGGGCTTCATGCATGCTAGGCAAGCACTCTACCACTAAGCTACCTTTCCAGCCTCTTTTTCTTAAAGTCACCCAGCTTGAAGGCATTAGAAATCATTCCCAGAAGAGAAAGCTGACAGTTTTTTAAAAAATGTATAATTTTGTTGCTATTATTAAGGTGTTATACAGAGGAGTTACCATTTCATAAGTCAGGTAATTAGTACATTTTTTTTTTTTTGGATCCAGTCATGGGGCCTGAACTCTGGGCCTTGGCGCTGTCCCTCAGCTCCTTAGCTCAAGGCTAGTTCTCTACCACTTGAACCACAGCGGCAGTTCCAGTTTTTTTTTCTTTTTGCTTATGTGGTGCTGAGGAATCGAACCCAGGGCCTCATGCATGCAAAGCAAGTGCTCTACCACTGAGCCACTTTTCCAGCCCCAGCACATACATTTTTTTGGGAGGACAGTGTCACCCCTTCTTTTGCTTTTCCCCAGTTGCCTCTTGTCCCTCTCCACATGTTCCATAGTTTATATTCCACATAGTGTATACTGAATGGCATGATTGAGCTGGTGGTTTTTGATTATTCTTTTTTTTTTTTTTTTTGGTCGGTCGTGGGGCCTGACCTCTGGGCCTGGGTGCTGTCCCTCAGCTCTTCAGCTCAAGGCTAGCACTCTACCACTTGAGCCACAGCACCACTGCTGACTTTTTCTGCTTATGTGGTGCTGAGGAATTGAACCCAGGGACTCATGCGTGCAAGGCAAGCACTCTACCACTGAGCCACCTTCCCAGCCCAAGTTTTTTTTTATTATTCTTTCTACTAAGAAAACAGAGCCTGGCCAATGGTGCAGTGACATGAAGACTAAACTAGTAGTTAGACTTTGCTTCTAATAGCCAGGTAACTTTGGTCATCTGTAGAAAGGGCTCACCTCACAGATGAGTGTGAGGAATGAGCCAGAGGCTATGCAAGGGCTTGTACCCCCTTCTCTCTCATCATTTTCCTTTGTTAGAATGGAGGCTCCTACTGAACCTGCTAAGTATCTCAGCTCAACAAGGGGCTGTGCGTATGTCTAATAGTAACAGTAGTAATAATAGTAATGATAATAAGCATGGTGATGCCGGAGGAGACATAATTGTAGGCAAAACAGACATGATTGCTGCCTGACAAAAGTGTGCAAGATTAATTCAGTCCCTGGGTGCTTGTGGCCCACGAGGTCTTAGCCTCCAAGGATTACAAAACCTGTAATCTCAGGAGGCTGACACCTAAGGATTGGGTTCAAAACCAGCCCAGGCAGACAGATTTTTGATCTCTGGTTCTATACCAGCCAAAAAACCCTAGAAGTGATAGAGCAGTAGCCTTGAACAAAAAAGGTAAGAGAGAGTACAAAGATCTGAAAAAAGAAAAAGTGCATTTATGGGTCATGATAGAAACTGTAGGAAAGACTAGTAGGTCAGGAAGGAATTGAAGGGGACCTCACTGGTATTGGGATGCGGCTCAGGAGCTCTGGTATTGACTCCTCCCCTTGAGCCTCTTTTATTTAGCCCATGGCAGGCAGAGCGTGTGACTTATTGGAGTACATAAATTAATCTTATATTGACTCAGATGACTGGTTCAGGGCTTCATTGGCATGGTATTTGAAAAAATTCACTTTCTTGAGGGGAGTGGTTTTTAACTATTGTCATTTGTTTTTCTCTAAAGTTTTTAAAGGTATTTCTCTCCATACTTTACTCCAAAGTTCTGGACCATGACATTTGGCTTATTTTTGTTCCTAGGAGCTTTTGATGGAAGGCCAGCAGACTATTTATTTATGCTTCTCTTTAACTGGATTTGCATCGTGGTATCCTTCAGTATTTCAGCCTGAAATGAACCAGTTTTGTTTTTTTCCCCCAGGTTTGGGGAAATAGAGTATTCTCTAAGTTCAAATTACAGCATTTGCATTTATATATCTCTCTCCAGTTACTAATTAAGAATATTTTTTTTAAGCTATAGTAAACCCTTTGGCTTTGAGTGCTAACACTCGCTGGTGCCCTGTGGGAGTTTTCCACATTTGGTTGGGTTTATTACTGTTTCCGCATGTTGTTCTTAGTTCTCTGTGTTCTCATCGGTGACAGCTTGGTGAGTGAAGCACAGAGATTTTGTGCCATGAGACAACTTTTGAAATTTCCAGCTCTTGTCACAAAATTAATTTATAAGCATACTTATTTTCTGATTCTGTTGCTGTCTGTCTTTTGGGGTTCTAAGCAGTAGTGATTCAGTCCCTTTGTAAAATACGCTAGGAGCAGATTTTCTGTGCTTTGTATCAGCTGAAGTTGTTAGCACCCTTCCAACTACAGGGCTCTTTCCCCTGTGGGAAGACAACAGAAAGGACTTCATGGTTCAAGTCCTGGCAGACAATTGCTACTGGATTCAGCTTTTATTTCAGTGTGGCCAGCAGTTAGAACATGGAAGCCATTGGCCTTCATCCATGCTGTGTAGATCCCTGAGTTGAGCAGAATCATTATTTCAGAAGCACAGAACTTTCATTCTACTTGAAGAAGAAATGCTATACCAGTGGTGAGGCTGGGGAAGAGGATATAGGTCCCTAACCCAGTCATGCTGAGGCTGTTAATTTCCATACCTTGTAGTAGGCCCTAATAGAGTATTCATAATGAAGATCATTAGGATCTTTGTGTTCTAGGATGACTTAAGGACTCTGAATAACAAAAAAGTACTTTCCTTTATAATAGTGCAGTGAAATTAACTTAGGAGAGATAAGCAGATCAGCCTCAGAGGTACTTCTTATTGGATCTTTAAAAAATTTTTAGTTTGATTTAATGAAAAATAATTTTAAGTAGTTGTACAAAGGGGTTTCAGTTCAACGATCAGAATTTGAGTTCAATGCATCTTGATCAGTGTCACCCCTTCTATTGTTCTTCCCCCTTTCCCAGTCCCATCCCATCCATATTATATTGGATCTTTAACTTTACAAACCAAGATTACTGGCTTAGCAATGGATATGCAGGTAAGTGTCCCTTTAAACTATTTATATATTTTAATGTGTTTCAGTCTTAAAATTAATAGCCTTTTGATGTTGAAATCACATTAACTGGTTAAGTGTGTGTTATTCTGAACTTCAAATGGTAGCTGTTACTATTATTTTTTTGGGGGGGGTCCAGACGTGGGGCCTGAACTCTGGGCCTGTGTGCTGTCCCTCAGCTCTTCAGCTCAGGCTAGCACTCTACCACTTGAGCCACAGCGCCACTTCTGGCTTTTTTTCCCCCCTACTTATGTGGTGCTGAGGAATTGAACCCAGGGCCTCATGCATGCAAGGCAAGCACTCTACCACTGAGCCACCTTCCCAGCCTAGCTGTTACTATTTTGAAGATCTTTTTTTTTCTTCTTATGGATCGTGGGGCTTGAACTCAGGGTCTGAGTGCTGTCCCTCAGGTCTTTATCTTAAGACTAGCACTCTGCCACTTTAGCCACACACCACTTTCAGTTTTCTGGTGGTTAATTGGAGATAAGTCTCATGGACTTTCCTGCCCAGGCTGGCTTTGAACCGTGATCTTCAGATCTCAACCTCCTAAGTAGCTAGGATTAAAGGCATGAGCCACCAGCACCCAGCTTGAAGATCTTAAAAATCAGTTAAATGTTTGAAGGTCTTACATGAGTTACCTAACGCATTGCTTTTCCTGCTCACTTGTGCTTCAGTATTATGTTTGGACATGGAGAATAGCAGGAGTTGAGATTGGGAGTGTGACATGCACAAGGCCCTGGGCCTAATCTCCAGCACTATAAGAGAGAAAGAAGGATGAGGGGGAGGGAAGGGAGAGAAAGAGAAAAGAAAGGAGAGAGAAAGAATACAAATAATGGCAGTGGTTATGCAATATATTGTAGGCATGTGTGAAGGTATGTATTCCCTAAAAATTATGTGGTAAGTAAAGCCTATATTTTGCAGATAACAGCTTGACTTATACTCCTGAATCATTCTAAAATGTATTTTATTATAGGATTTGTAGGATTCATATGTGACAAATTAAATAATAGGATCAGTCTATAGTTCTGCTCAGTTGTATTTCCTTTGGTTTTTTGAATACCCACTCAAGAATATTTTTACAGAGAAATGAATCAAAATACCTACCATACCTCCTTTCTCCATGCTCTTGGAGCTTGATTTGACATGTTGACTTCTTTTGTAGTTGCTGATGATTCCTCTGATCATGTCAGTACTGTATGTCTGGGCCCAGCTGAACAGAGACATGATTGTATCATTTTGGTTTGGAACACGATTTAAGGTACTTTACATTGGTGGGGAAGACTTGTCATTTGTTTTTGCAGAAATCCCTCTCTCCAGCCCAGAGATGTACTTTCTGACTCGTCCAGAAGAGGTCACTACAAAGCAGTATACCATAGGCAAGCTCTTTTTCCCCTCTATAGTCCCACTCTGAGCCAAAGGTTGGCTGACCACTGTTGCTTCCCTGCCCCCTCCATACCTCAGGCTCCCGGAGAATGTTCCTGAGTGATCTTATGTGTGGGGGTTATAAAAATAGATGGAAAGATGCTTATGTGAAATCCTGGGACTTTTAAAATCACCCCCCCCCCCCCCATCCCGAGGCTTGAACTCTGGGCCTGAGTGCTGTCCCTGAGCTTCATTTGCTCAAGGTTAGTGTATACTTACTACTTGTGGCTTAGTGCCATGTCCAGCCTTTTCCAAGTAGTTTATTGGCGCTAAGAGTCTCATGGAGGGCTGGAAAGGTAGTTCAGCGGTAAGAGTGCTTGCCTTGCATGGATGAGGTCCTGGGTTCGATTCCTCAGCACCACATAAGCAGGAAAAGCTGGAAGTGGCACTGTGGTTCAAGTGGTAGAGCGCTAGCCTTGAGCTGAGGAGCTGAGGAACAGCGCCCAGATCCAGAGGTCAGGCCCCCCCGACTGACCCCCCCCAAAAAAAATGTCTCATAGACTTTCCTGCCTGGGCTAGCTTTGAACTACAGTCCTCAGATATCAACCTTCTGAGTAGCAAGTATTAACAAGTGCCTGGCTTAAAATCACTTCTTGTCACTCCCTCACTCTGTATTATATTTTTAATACTTCAGCCAAAATAGATTTTTTTTTGCCTTAAACATTACCTGATCTTATAATACTCTCTTCTTCATATAAATATACCCGTTATATTATGTGACAGAACATATTTCTTCTCCTTTTTTCTTGGTGCCAGTATTGGAGCTTGAACTTAGGGCCTGGGTGGCATCCCTTAGGTTTTTCTGCTCAAGGCTGGTACTATACCACTTGAGCCATGCCTCCACTTTGGCTTTTTGGTAGTTAATTAGAGATGAGAGACTGATGGGTTTTCCTTTCAGGTTGGCTCTGAACTAGTCCTCAGATCTCAGTCTTCTGAGTAGCAAAGATTATAGGCATGAGCCTCTAGTGTTCATCTTGAACATATTTTTGAGTTTCCTTCCTGAATTAGTCTTAGCTTTGGGCTCTTGTAGGGCTTTGTGATCCTTTTTTAGTGTCTTCAACATCGTTTAACCTTAAAGCTATCTATGTATAACCTTTTATTAGTTTATGAAGTTCTTTGAAATACTCTTTAACTTTTGGTATGGGGCTCAGATACTGTATTCATAATTTGGGAGCGTATTCGTTCAAGATCTCAATGGTAATAGTTTACCGGCTGGAGTCTTTAAAGTGATTCTATTGTGGGTTATATTTTTACAAGCATCCATGGGATACTTGTCTATTTTTTAAAATTTTAATTAGATTTTTAAGTAGTTGTACAAAGCAGTTGCCATTCAACAAAGCAGTTAATGAATACAAGGAATCTTGATTGATAATCATCTCTTTTAGCATTCCCCTCATCCCTCTCAACCCTACCCCTCCCCTTAATTTTCTTAATTTTGTAGGATGTGCATTGAATTTTATGACTGCATTCTCCTCCCTCCTCTCCCATTTGTCAGGTCATATATTACGTTTGAACTCTGTACCATATTCTATCATTACATCTACAAGTATACAGATAAGTGTACTTTTAGGTAGGAAGTTTTGTTGTTGTTGTTGGTTGTGAGGCTCAAACTCAGAGCCTGGGTGCTACCCCTGACCTTTTTTTCTGAAGACTAGTACTCTACCACTTTGAGCCACAGCTCCACTTCCAGTTTTCTAGTGGTTAATTGGAGATAAGAGTCTCACGGACTTTCCTGCCTGGACTGACTTTCCTGTCTGGACTGGATTTGAGCTGCAGTCCTCAGATCTCAGCCTCCTGAGTAGTTAGGATTATAGACATGAGCCACCAGTGCCCCAGGCTTAGATAGAAACTTTTAAGTACAGTAGAAATGATGCAAGATTGATCTGCAAAATTTTACAGTGATCTTCCAAGAACTTTATGTAAAGCTCTTGTCAGTATGTTTCTCCCCATTTTAGTCCTCCTGCTGTATCTTCTTCAGGTATAGCTGTTTACATTTGTGTATATTTCTTCCTAGGCCTGTTATTTGCCTTGGGTTATTCTTGGATTCAACTATATCATTGGAGGCTCGTAAGTGATAATCAGTTTATTTAATTGGAGACCAATCCTTAGATAACTTGGATTATTACCTTCTTTCTCTAATCTTTTATAAACTTAATAAAGCTGTTCACTGTTGAGGTCTTAAAACCTTATACTTACAGAATAATTGCGTTTTGATGTAATTGTTTAAGTTGGAGGGCCTCAGGCACACATAACATTGGATGGTTATAATTGTTAGCTCATCATTAGACATAGTACACTTCTGTATTGTGAGTGTTTGAATAAACATGTACTTCTGGATTCACTATATCCATATACATACCTGGGCAAATGGAGACTTAATTTGTGTCTAAGACTTAATCTGTGCTAACTTTAAAAAGCTATCTATGAAATTAGTACATTTAGTGTTTTAAAGGCATTTCCAGAATGCTTTGGAAATTGCTCACTGTTACACAAATGTAATCTCTCAGAAGTAGTTTTGTAAATTTTTATGTGGTTTAATTAATTAATTAATTAATTTTTTGGGCCAGTCGTGGGGCTTGGGCACTGTCCCTGAGCCTATTTGTGCTGACATTCTACCACAGTGCCACAGAGCCACAGTGCCACTTCTGGTCTTTTCTGAGTAGTTAATTGGAAGTAAGAGTCTGAGGAACTTTCCTGCCTGGGCTGGCTTCAAACCAGATCTCAGTCCTCAGATCTCAGCCCCCTGAGCAGGATTACAGGCATGAACCACTGACACCTGGCAATTTTGTAAATTTTGTAAGTAGGTGGATGGTACAAAAGTTCTGGTCAAGCAGGGTTTAAGTTCTAGTCTCTTGCTTAGAATTAGACTGGAGATTTAGGAAATCTTTTTATGTATCTAGTCAGAATGTTAAATGAGGCCATCAAGATGCAGCTCTCATTTATTACACTACAAAATAGTTTTAAGAATCTAATAGATCCTAATGTTTCACATTCTTCGTATTTCTGATGTTTGTTGTGTGTTATCCTGACTTCTTCCTCAAGTCAATAGGGAGAAGTGAATGAGTTGATCAGACTTTTTTGTTTTGTTTTGTTTTGTTTTTAAGAACGTAGCATGTTCAGGGCTTGGTAAAGCTGCTTGCTCTCCCACCTAGTAGGGCAGACTCAAAGAGTTTGCAGATGATGAACTGCCCTGGCAGGAATCAGGTTTCAGGTGAAGACAAAGAAGGGTATGTAATAGTAGCAATGTCTCCATGAAATTCTGTAACCTTTAGCCCTGGGAAACCTGAAGCAGGTCATCATTTATTTTAGGATGCAGGGTGTGGGTCAGCTTTCATAAGTAATCTCTGGTGTCTCACACTGAAGGATACTTCAGAGGCCAGAGAAGTATGTAATGGCTCCAGAAACAGGAGAATAGCCATTTATTGTCTGTCTTGCCATCACCACCATGCTCTTCTCTTGTGCCCTGCATGTCATTGCCTCTGTTTTGTAAATATAGCACTGAAAGAACTCAGAAGTTGACTTTGCAGTTTCTCCAACTCCTGCAGTATGTAGTAGACAAAACAGTGTTCTGAGGACAGGCAGAGGTTTGAAGGAGATATCAGAGGGACTACTGGCTCATCAGGCCTGATTTTCCCTCTCTCTTGGAGTGCATTTGTCACTCATACTGTAAGAGGGCCTACTGTAAGCTGTCACATAGCCTTAACAGGTGTAATGGGTTGCAATGAAGGACCTCTTTCTCATGCTAATAGTTAAAACTGGGTACATCTCACTTTATTACTTGAGTGGACTTAATCTAATTTGGTTCTCTGTTTGCAGGGTAATCAATGAGCTAATTGGAAATCTTGTTGGACATCTATATTTCTTCCTAATGTTCAGATACCCAATGGACTTGGGTGGAAGGAATTTTCTGTCTACACCTCAGTTTTTGTAAGTGTTCCCTCCCTCTCTGAATAGTTCTCATGTTGTCTATAGTCTCAAGGAGTTAATTTACTACTCTGTTTAAGGGAGAAATGTGGGTGAATCAAAGACTTAGTGTGGCCACACAGTTACGAAGACCGACCGGCAGTGAAGCCACATGGGTTAAACATGGGTTAAACCCATGAGGTATTTGCTGCAACTCCAGGGTGCTAAGCAGGAGGAGGGGATGTATAGAGAAAGGGGTGGTGGTATGCTTTTTCTTGGAAAATCAGGTTTACCCATGATGACAGCTTAGGAAGGGTAAATTAGCTCATTGGTTGGCAGTTTCAAAATCTCACTGTTTTGATTTTTTGAGATGGTGTCTGGGTATGTATTACGTAGTCTGGTTTAGTCTTGAACTTGAAATCCTCCCGAGTGCTGGGGTTACATACATGTAACCATCATGCCTGGGTTTGAATATTTTGCAGACTGTTGACCCTTTGGGAGTATGCTTTTTGAGATACTGGGAAAATTATTTAAAAAGCCTCTTAGTGTGTAGGTTGAGGGGCTCCCTGTCTCACAGACTGTCGGGAGCATGGTGGTAGGCACTCTGTAAACTAGAGCCATGTGCCATATTCCTAATGTGAGGGGTGGGGGGCTGATGAGCCGAGAAGTAGAGCTCACACACTTGAGTATGTAAGTAGCATGGCCATTCTGTCAGCCAAGCAAAAGGCTGTTCAGGAAGGGACCAGTTAAATCACCATCTGGATGTCACAGCCTGCCTGACAATCACGCCTAATAATCTCATGTTGGGGCTATGCAATAATCGCTTGCATTTAAAGTCTTAAAAGCAAAAATCAGTTCCCTCAAAGTCACTCCTTTTGCATCCTGCTCATTTTAATGTTTTGTAGTTCTGTTATTTTCCTAAGGGGTCAGTGAAAACAGTAAAACTTAAGTGGGTCCCCTCTCCTCCCTCTGTACATATTTGTAGAAGACTTTAATTTTGGACTATAAAATATGGAAAAAATACATTGTTAGGGGTGTGTGTGTGTGTGTGTGTGTGTGTGTGTTTTAAGGGAAAAAAACCAACTTGTTTCTCTTCTGAGCCTGGAGTTGCCTTCAGGCTGAAAAAAAACAAAAACAAAAAGACAAATGACCAATCTGCTTTCTAATTATCAAAGGATACAATAACAGCAGGCTTGAATTTCTGATCTAGGGTTATCGAGTAGAATGGCTGATGCACCAACTTACAAAAGCTTGTGCTTTAGAGACCACCCAACAGTTATTTTACTTTAAGTGGCTATTTTCTGACTTAACAGCTCATAGCTATTTCTCAGTTGTGGAGAGTGGTGTCCAGGATTCTCATGGCAGAATCAGTAGCCCTCCTCCCCCACCCCCCCAGCCTGCCTCCCACTTGAGCTTTCTCTGTTGTTGGAAGCCCTTCTGTTAAAATTTGCATAAAGATCAGATGACAAAATGTAGCTCCTTGCAAAAGCAGTAACTGCTTTGAAATTACCATACATTTTTGTTGATTATGTATAATTGGGTATCTTTTTATACTAATTACTTGCATTTAATTTCACTATTCGCTTAAGCAAGGGAGCTGGCTTCTGTATTGTCTTAGAGTAGGTAGCAAAGCAAGATAACCACAGTATTGCCTTTTTCACTTGTTCTGTTTTATTATGGACTTTGGAGAAATATTATTGTACAAGTAGTCAGAGATTGTCCATTCAATGTTTGGATTTAGTGATAAAGCTGTATTTAAAACATTTTTTTGGAGATAGTAGCCTAGGTTGATAAAGAACTTGATACACTCCTACCTCAGTGTCCCTGGTGCTGCTCTTCTACTCAGTGTCCCGAGTGCTGGAATTACAGATGTACACTACCATGCTTGGCTTTACACTTGTTTAAATGTGAAGAGTTGAATTGTAGAGTTCTAAGATGATTGGTATTCTGCATTCCATTTATAAAAGTAGTTCTTCCATATAGTTAATTTTCTGGTATATGCCTGTAATCCCAACTACTTAGGAGGTAGAGATAGGAGACTGTGGTTCTTAGGCCTGTCCATACAGAAGTTAGAAAGATCCTGTGTCAGAAACAAGCAGGGCATAGTAGCACACATCCATGGTCCCAGCTACTCTGGAAAATAATAAAAATTAAGGCCAGTTGAGGCGAAAAGTACAAAACCTCACCTGAAAAAAAAAAAAGGCAAAAGGACTCAAGTGGTAGAGCGCTTGAGACCCTCTCAGCTCCAGTAACAAAAGAACAGGAAAGTAGGGAAGGGAAAGAAGATGAAGGTTTCAGGTTGATAGAAGCAGATGAGGACTGAGGTCACCTGTTCACTGCTGTCTTACTCCATTGCACTGCTCAGGAGGCATTGAATATAATAAGGAGTGAGTGTGCCAGCCCAAATCTCTTCACTTAGTCTTGCCTCAGTTTCCTTGTAAAACAAGGATAATATAGCTGGGTGCCATGGCATATGCCTGTAATTCCAGCTACTTCAGAGGATGAGGCAGGAGGTTCTCAAGTGCAAGGTCAGCTGGGCAACTTTAGCAAGGAAAACCCTGTCTCATGATAGCATTTCCAAAACAAAACAAACCAAACCCCACCTGCCTAGTGCCTGTGGTGCTGTCATACAGAAAGCAGGGCTGTGATGGAAGTGTCCTGTCTTCGGATTGCTGTGGAGTTCAGATGAGCTTGCGAGCAGCAGTACCTGGTATCAGGGAACTAACTGCATGCTGAATGATAAAGTTAGACAGTAGGTGCTCATCAGGCTGAGGTGCGAAAAGTCACCTGACACAATGAACTCTTGAGTGCTACAGAGTATTTTTAAATGTTTTTATTGTTATTATAAAAATGATGTACAGAGTGATTGTAGTTGCATAAGTCAGCTAATGAGTATTTTTTCTTTGACAAGGTTACCCCTTCCCCTCACTCCAGAGTATTTTTTAATTAATTAAGTTCCAGAACTGAGACTTGAACTCTGGGCCTTGTGCTGTCATTCAACGTTTTTGTTCACAGCTGGCATACTGCCACTTGAGCCACACCTCTACTTCCCAAGACCGGTTTAAACAAGAGTGTCCGTTCTTACTCTCCTCCTCCAAGCCAAGTATCATAGGCTTAAACACATTTTAATTTACTAATAATTAGGCAAGGAAGGGAAATAGTTGCAATGTACTATTGAGAGCATAGACTTAGGTTTAAATTTGTTTTGCTGTTCTGAGACTCCAATTTATCAATTTGTGCAATGAGGAATCAAATCATGTAACTCTTTTCAGCCTCAGCTTTCCCACTGTATGTGAGATGGGAAGAAAGATGATGAATAAGCTTTAAAAATACACACACACAGACACACAGACACACAGACACACAGACACACACACACACACACACACACACACCTTCCTTCTACCTTCCAGAC